GCCAAAACAGTATTATATTTCTTTATTTACTTTATTCTTTTTTTTTTTAAGGTGGTCCTGTTCCCACTGGTTCTCTTTCCCCCCACCTCTTATGTTACCTTTTTATCTTTGGGATTTTGTTTATTACTTCTTCTCTCCTGCTTTTATCTGGTTATATATTCTTCCTCTTCTTTTTTTCCTGTTAGTCAAGTAGATTTTTCCCTTCCTCTCTTCCTCTTCATGTAGTCATTAATTTTTTAAATTACATTCTTTATGCCTCTTTCCAAAAAGGATTTCTCTCACTCTACTCGTTATCTATCTTGTTTCTGTTTAAACCCTGCTTGTACACTGTTTATACCCTCATTCTCTGATTCATGACCTCTGTAATCATCCGATCTCTTTTTTTTTCTATAGTCTTCATACAATCAAAGCTTCCAAGGTATCCATTTTAGGCTTTTTCCTCTGGGTGTTTTCTGTTACTTTCACGTAGGGTTTACCCCATGGGTTCCCCTTTTCCATTTTGCCTCATTCTCAGAATAATGCTAATTTAATTATTCAGGTATCAGAGAGGACATTGCTCCATGATAGGACCCCTCCTGTAACACTAATTTAAACCCTCTTTTTTTTTTCTACATTTGCCTGGAGATCTCCTGGAGTCCATACTCTTCCCATTCCTCCAAGTGCTAGTTGTTCCCAGAAGTTCCAGCCCTCCTACCCCCTAGTAGACTTTTCAAGCATCATATCCCTAGATCTTACCAGTGTGTGGTCCTCATCTCCCTTAATTCATATCAGTGGAACCCCCTCCCACCTCCAAGGTGAGTCTTCTTTCTCCTTCTTCCTCACCCATTTTCCTTTAGGCTTTTCTCTTTCTGAGATTATAGAGGTCACTTTCCCTTCATTGCTAGCCCATATCACACACTTACTATCCTCCTCCTATTCTCCCCCTCTTTCATGTATCCTGCCTTATTATAATGTAATCTCATTAAAGAGCATTGTAGACAGAGTATAGTAAAGTTTTGTCCATAATGCCACCATAATTGTCCACCACTTCACTTACCTCTACCAGATTTCCGCCTTCACCTCTGTCTCCTTGTGTGTACATTAAGAAAGAAGTGTCTTACTGGTTTTTATGTTGTCACTCTGTTGCTGACCTTGCCTGCTGTGTTTATTCACTCATCTTGCATTTCTGTTGTGTGAAGTGTTCAAAAAGCACATAATCTCTTCATTTCTGGTTTTCTTTCTAAAAATGTTTCAGACTCTATTATTGAACATCCATCTTTTGTCCTGTATGGTTAAGATCACATTTGCAGGATAGGGCACCCTGGCCTGCATCCTTAGCTCCAGTGCTTTTTTGGAACATATTGTTCCTTTCCCTCTTCCTTTTTCCAGTGTGTGTGGGCATAGTCTTATTTTGCTGGAATATCCTTTCCTTTATATTTGGAAGTCTGCTGACTTGTGGAGATTGCTGTTTCTGAATTGAATTGTTAAATTTAACCACTATGTGTCTTGGAGTTTGTAGCCTTGGGTTTTTTCCTGGAGGCATTCTGTAAATTCTCTAAATTGGAATGTCATTTTCATGTTTAGAAATTCTGGGCAGTTCTCTTTTATTATTTCCATCATCATGGTGTAAGGGTTTTTTGTCCTGTCATGTTATTCTGGGAGACCTATGATCCTTAGGTTGTCTCTACAATTCCTGTCTTTGAGATCCATGTGTTTTACTTAGGGTGAGCTTATTTTCTTTTAATGCTGTTGTTTTTTTGTTTGTTTTTCTTTTCTTCTAGGTTGTCCTTCACTTCTCCTTATTTTTTATATTTCTAATATATTCTTTCTTTTGTTCTTTGGTAAAGTCTGATCATTTCAGATTCAAACTTTTTTATTCTGCTTATTATTTTTGCTATGGAGAACATCAGTGCTGGTCTCATAATTCTCATTTCTTCTAAACCACTCAGGAACAGTGTGTTGTGATTACATGTTCTCCTCAAATTCCACAGGGTCCTGTATTTCATCAAGTATTGGATTGTTTTCCTTTGTTTAGCAGTATTTATTCATAGGTGCCTGAACTCATTTACCAGATCTGTAAGCCATATTTCCTCTTCTGTTCATTTATCTGTTCAAGGTCTATGAAATTACTTCTTCCTGAAATCTTTGGTACTTTCAGGTTACCCCCCCCTTGCCCCCCCACCATTTTTCTTATCACTTACTTCCTGACTCCCTTCCCCCAGTTGTGGTTTCCTTGAGGGCTGGATCTCAAAGTCAGCCTCCTTCCACATTGGTAATTCATGGTTCAGCAGCCTAGGTTTCTGCCGCACCTGATAATTGATTGATCAGAATTGGCCCCAGCTGGATGCTCTGCCCTTTCCCTCCTCAGAAACATCACAGAGAGGGTATATTGAGAAAATGTTGCAAAATCCTCAACATGCACAGTGTCCTGTCCTGGTGACTTATCTCTTTCCCTTTGTTCCTCAGTTCTCTGGCCCAGCACTAGCAGTTCAGAGACTTTTTCCTGATCACAGCCAGTCCAGCTCTTTGCAGCCCTAGTGCTTCTGAGTTGCAATTCTAGGCAGGCTTTTGCTCCTGAAGGGCTGTGGCCATGCTGACTGGAGGCATGAGCAAATTTCCACAGTCTGGAGTTGGGGTCTCCATAGCACTGTAATAAGCGAGGGACAATGGCATGTAGAGGTAGGTTTGAGACACGAAACACAAACCTGTGTCATGTCCTTCAGTTAGGTAGTGAGGGAGGTGGGGAAGGGGTGCTGAGTAAGCTCAAGGTCAGTGAACATCAATTGCTGGGTTTATGGCTAACCTTATTTTGGATTCTAGGTAGTGTAGACCATGGTGACAGCTGAAGTTGCTTTATCGTTGGTAAACTATTTCTGTTGGATAGGTTTAAGAGGTTGTGTGAATTGGAGATGTGTAGTCCAGTCTTGTTGCTCATGTGACCCTTTTTTTGGTGACATTTCTCACTCTTGGCTCTCCTCCTACCTGTTCAACCATTCCTTCATTTTCTTTTCTGCCTTGTCCATCTCCTGCCCTCAATTGTGTGTGTCCCCCAGTGCTGCTATTATAGGCTCTATTTTTTCAGTATACCCTCTCTGTGATGTTATCAGTTCCTTTGGGTTCAATTATCTCCATAACGAGTACTCTCAAATCTGTGTTTTCAGTCCTAATCTCTCTCCTGAGCTACATTCCCAAATTATACATTTGAGTTTTCCATTAATTCTAGCAGCTTTTTGGCTTGTCCTTCACAATCTGCCTTGGCAATAGTCACATCTATGCCAGATAAGTGTATTATTTTCAAAAAGATTTATGACTTTCCCTTCTAAGCCGCAGGGATGAAAAAGACAGTTCTCTTCTTCACTTGTGCATTGGAAGAAATGAGTTGGCATCTTGACAGGTTGCTGTCATTAGTAGGTTATCACAGTTTCCCATAGAGACATCTCCAGCCAAATGTCACATAGGCATTTCAGACTCATATGTCCAAAATGTAATTCACTGTCTCTCCCTTCCCACCTCCCTATTCTCCAGTCTTCCTTTTTTCTATTGAGGGTACCACCATAGTTCTCAATTCTACGCTCTTGGAATTGTAACTTTACTTTCCCTCTATATATCTAACCATGCTCAAGTTTTGGCAAGTCTTCCCACATCATCTCATCCCACGTTCTCGCTCAGAGTCACCACACTAGTTCCATTTCTTATCATCTTTTACTTGGCTTATTGTAGCTCCGTCCTAATCTCCCTGCTTTCAGTTTCTCCCTTCTCTAATCTGTTCTCAATTCAAGAAATTATTCAGTCAGCTTTTTTTTTAATTAAGTAGGTATTGTGCATGCAAATGATATGGGTAGAGTACTTTGTAAACTTCAAAGTACTATATAAATGCTAACTATTATTATTGTTGCAGCTAGGTGGCACCATTGGATAGGGCCACTGGACCCAGAATCAGGAAGAGCTGAGTTCCAGTACAGCCTCATACATTTACTGGCTGTGTGACCCTGGGCAAGTCATTTACCCTCTTGCCCCATTTTCCTCAGCTGTAAAATGGGGATAATAATAGCACCTACCTCCCAGGGTGGTTGTGAGGATAAACTGAGATAATATTTTAAAGAGTTTAGCACAGTGCCTGGCACATAGTTGCTTAATAAATGCTTGTCCTTTCCTTTCCTGCCTTAATGTTTTTCTGGATACAGCTAATAGTTTCCATTACTTACAAACTATGCTCTTTCATAATTTCAGTACTTCTTTGATTGTGATTGAATGGGAAAATTAAGTTCAGTTAATAAGTAAAATTGTGTACATAATAGTACTTATTTAAGTTGGTATTCCATTTGAAAACTAGGTAGAAATCTTATGTACATACATTTTCTTTAAAGCCTCTACTAAGCCTTCTAGTTTGTATATTTGTAAATCTTTTGATTTATATATGGACTATTTTACTGTGAGCTTGAATACTAATACTAAAATGTAGTCAACTACGTGTTTAATAATTGACACTTTTTTGCGTGTTTTGGTCCCCACAATTCATGTGAACTTTTAGGATGCTCACTTAAGCAATAATTTTACTATTCTAAAACTGATGACAGAAATGTTAAGACTTCTGGTAGTGTGACGAAGCTCTATGACCTCCTGGCAGATGGGTACAAGCCCTTTCTCTTCTTAACCACTGCTTCCTGTTCATGCTATTCTGGCTTCTTCCTACTACCCATCTAGATTCTAGGCTTGTTTCTTGGGAAAAGTGAGTATACCTTCACTATCTTGTCCCTGCTGTCTTTCTGATTCTGAGGGTCTGCTGCTTCCACCTGAATGCTTGAGAATAAGTAAAAATAGAGACTGGAGAAAATATATCAGGAAGCAGGGGAAGTCATTGGTCACAGCTCTATTCACAGCCTTCAAGTGCCACATCAGCAGGCAGCAGACCAAACAAATCTGTGTCTAGTGTCCCTGAAGACATATGTGGACATATTTCTGAAGATTACATGTAAAATTTTCATTTGAAAGACTAATTTATTAAATCCTTTGCATTTCAGTACGGGGATGTCGTCCTGGGAAGATTGTGCAGATGACCGAAGCAGAGGTCCGAGGCTTGTGCATCAAATCTCGAGAGATCTTCCTCAGTCAGCCTATACTTCTGGAGTTAGAAGCTCCCTTGAAAATTTGTGGTAGGTGGCCTGTGTGAACTAATCATCTTCACAGTAATTTAAATTCTTCACTGCTAGTTAAATTTATTTGCATAATGATTTGAAGACAAGTTTAAAATTTAAGGTAATTATAATTGTAGAAAGCATCTTAAATTTAGTCTTCTATTAAGCTATAGAATTATTATACTTCTTTTTGGTGTAGAATATTATTTTGGAGTTTTATATGGGCTTTAAGTGACAGCAGTGACTTTTCTTTGAATAGAAGGATGATGGTGATAGCTCTTACTGTTTATAACCTAAAAGTCCTTGAACAAAGAAAAACTTTGATTCTTTCATCTTTTATTCTTTTATTTAAATTTTAGTGCCTCAAGAATATGTGACTTTTCTTCCCTCCTTGCTTTAATATGACCAAACTTAGAAATTTCATCAAACAATACACATCCTGTTGTTCAGGCCATATTTTTTTAAATCCTAGGTTGTTTGAGGACCTACAAAACCTTCAAGAACCCAGGGTGATTTCCATGTTTTGAAGAAGTATTGCAGTAGGGCTTTAGTGAAATATGTGTGTACGTATGTATGTGTGTTTGTGTACATATGTACATGATGCATATATATATTTGTTTTTAAAGTTATGAATAAATATGGTATACATTCCTTATAATATTTCCTTGCTCAAACACCTTACAAGAATTCAGACTTTAAGTTTTATAGTAAAATTTATTCCAATCATTATTTTTATTGCAGATTCCTCCTTAGAGAGTATTTCATCATGGTTTAGTGAAAAGAGAATGAGTTTAGGTTCTAGTCCTAGCTTTACCACTGAATGGCTTTGGGTAATCTTTTAACCTCTTTTGATCTTGGTTTCCTCTTCTGTAAAATGAGGGAACTGGATAAGAGGTTCTTAATCTTTTTTATGTCATGGACACCTTTGGCAGTTTAAAGCCTCTGGGCTTCTTCTCAGAATATAGTTTTTAAGTACATAAAATACATAGGGATTACAAAGGAAACCAATTATATTGAAATTAATTTGTCAAAAAATAAAAAACAAAACCCTCACACATCCCAGGTTAAGAACCCCTGGACTAGATTATCTCTGAGATGACTTACAGTTCTTATAAGTTTTTGGTGCTATTTTTCATTCTGGCAACTAGACCTTAAATTTTTGTTGTTTTATTTGCATTTTACCTACATTTTTTTCTCTACAGGTTGAAAGACCTTGTTTAAAATATTTTTATACAAAGTAACACATTTTTAAACAGTGTTGAGGAATTGATTCTTAAGCTATACAAAGGCTTAATGTCAGAAAAAACACACTAACAAAGCCATCCAAAGCTGGAATGGCTTACTTTTAAAGTAGCAGTTTTCTCTCATTCAAACTGAATAATCAAATCACTTGTCACATATGTTATATTGGGAATTCTTATTTGAGTATAGTTGGACTAGATAGGTGACTACTGAGATCCTTGACAACTCTAAAAATTCTTTGATTGTTTAACTGAATATGGCTAAAACTAAGTATGAAAAGTCATAACATTAAAAATTAGAAAAGAGTGGAAGTTTATGTTTTTTACAATTATGTAGGTTTATTACCAGGTTGACTAAGTGATAGAGGAATTCACAAGCTGCATCAGCAAAGGGATTCTCCATACTGATGAAATTACAGATCCTTGAAGTATTGAAGTGTTCATAAATGAGATTTTTTTCCTAACTTTTTTGATTTCTCTAATTTGTTTCAATGGTCACATTCTACCTACTGTTTTTTCTTGAACGTCTTTTTGGCAAAAACAATAAAACAGATGTAAAATGTTCATAATTCATCACTTAATGATCTGCTATCAGTAAATTTGGCTAGATTTCCAAAAAATTGATTTATAAGATCTATCTTCTGCTGTAGCTATTCTTTGTAGTGTTTTTCATTTTGTTAAAGACTCTTAGATTTGTCTTCTGCTTTTGCTTAAAAAAGGTCAGTTTAATTCATGTTAAACTTTTCTAGCTTGTACTTTGTTTCCCAGAAATCCCCAGTTGTGCTACATTGATTAAACCTGTTCATTGTGCCCTTAAAATATTTCTTCTTGTCCTTGTAGTGGTCAACTTCAGCTCACCTGGATCATAACATTTACGGATGAGTTTCAGAGAAATCAAAACAAAATTTCTTCATAGTTAAATATTTTCATTTCATGTATTGTTTTGAAATAAATTTATTTTACTTTTAACCAATCTCAAAAAATAAACTCACCCAAATCATTTCGCTCTCAACAGAGGCCTAGTTGGACATCCACTCTTTAAAAGTACCTTGATTTTAAATAGATAAAGAAACTGTGGATAACTTTTAAGTACGTCTAGTTAAAACATTTTTGTACAAAGAAATACCTTGAGTAAAGCTTTATGTTTATAGAATGACTGTTTGTTCTCTAAAGTGGTAGAGATTTTTAAAAAATACTTAATATTCAGTATCATGTAATACAAATTTCAGTTTGTAGACCTTTCTTTTTATTAAGCCATGGGTCATTTGAAAGTAAATTTTGTTAGGGCATTTCTCCTCAACACAGCTTGACATTTTACTTTGCCATAATAATCAACAAGATTCCATGCGGTATAAGAGTTATACTTTTCTTAAACATATTAATAACACAAAAATCTATTACTTGGACTCTTCATATGCATGACTGACTTATAAAAATGTGCTTTTTATTTTTAGGAGACATTCATGGTCAATATACAGACTTACTTCGATTATTTGAATATGGAGGATTCCCACCAGAAGCCAACTATCTATTCCTGGGAGATTATGTGGACAGAGGAAAGCAGTCTTTGGAAACCATTTGTTTGCTATTGGCTTATAAAATCAAATACCCGGAGAACTTCTTCCTCTTAAGAGGAAATCATGAATGTGCTAGCATCAATCGTATTTATGGATTCTATGATGAATGTGAGTAAAAGTAAAAGTTACTATGGAAAATTATTTAAATGCTAAAACAACGGGGAGGGGGGATAAACAATTGAATCTGTGAGATTTGCACTTGAATGTTTAGCAAAAAACAGCACAGCTTCATGTATTTCAAAGACCAGGCATTCTGAACATGGAAAAAAAAACCAGGAGGGAGATATATGTCTTATTCTTCCATTTCCTGGAGGAAGGATTAGTGAGTGGGAGGGGTTTTGCCATGTACAACATAGTAGGATCTCATCAGCATGCATATAATTCTAAGTTGAGAGCAAGGAAAATAATCCAGATAAACCAGAGATGCCAGTAGGTAAATCAGCTGTGAAGATTTTCCTAGACATTTCTGTCCTGTTTTCTATCGAGTACTGAGGAGTTGATTCTCAGTACTTTTGACAAGCTGTGTTATTAAACCCCATGCCATGAGAACTGTTTATCTGTTTAAATATATTGCTACTACTAATTTGTGCCATTAAACCTGGATAGACAAGGAATATTACATACTCTGGGGTACACATGTACCAGTGCTACTCTTTTCAACTTGATTATCCTTTTAAAAGTATTTTTCCTTTTTTCTTTTCCATTTTTTGTCAATAGGAGATATATTGTTAAGTGAAAACAATGTTTCCAAGAGATGAGAGGTCATAGCCCATTTTCCTGCTCATTTTTTGTTCAGTTACGAACCAGAAAGCTACCTTCTTGCTATTTTCTGTTAGTTTCTCTTTTTTTGCTAAATCTTTGTTGGTTCAGAGATTTATCTGGTTACAAAATGAATATATAGAGTTAGTTTTGAAATTTACTAGTTTCTGTGTTAACTCTGAACCTGTTCTGGGTTATATTTACTTTATCTATCCCATATTATGAGAGCAGGCCTTTTGAATTGAGAGCTAGTTTCAAAGCCAAAAAGATCTGGGTTCAGGTCCTACTCTTGATACCTACAGATGGCATATTCCTGGACAAGTCACTCAACTTCTTAATGCTTTAAGTCAGAAGTATCAAACTTGTGCTGCTTTTGGCAGTTCTCTAAGACTTTAAGTTGCAGGGAACATATACATTGACAGAATTCCATATGAAGGAGTTCCCAGTATCAATGACATAGAATGTCTCTGTCTCTATTTTTCTGTCTCTCATACATACATACACACACAGAGAGAGAGAATATTATAATAATAAACTAATGTAATAATACCACTAATATAGCATTATATAATAATTTAATATAATACAATAACCCTAATGATATATTATCTATAATATACATTAGAGACAGACTTTATTCATTAATTTCCTAATTTAGGATCTATAACCAATTTTTGTCAACTGAAGTTCATTTTTGCACTATTTTAAATAGTTTTTGCTTAGCAAAACTTTTTAAAAGATGTCAAAACTCAATACTAGGTGTGGAATATTGCATTTATTTTTAGGTTTTTAGATTTTATTGGTTGGCTTTGCTAGTTTTCTTCTGCTTCTTTTTGATGTTCTTTGTTATATGAGAAAGTTCTCTGGGAGAGAGGCTGGGTGGGGTTGGAGATACATGGGGAATTTTAAGGACCTTAAAAACAACAAAAAATTTAAAACTCAGTGCTCTCATGGGTACAAAAGATTAGTTCAGTCATTGATTGCTTAGTAGAGTTGCAAAACTGTAAAATCTTTTTCAAGAACAGCCTGGCAACATACAGCAAAGTTATAAGAATACACTGACTTATTATTGGGAATAGATCTTAAAATTATTCCCCAAAACAAACAAAAAATTGTTCCAATGCTCCCTAGTAGTGTTAAATGTAATTACATATAGTTTAAGTATACATTAACGAAAGGATAGTTAAATAAATTGTGGAACATAAATATACAATGCACTCAAGACGAACAAGGATAAGGAATACAAAGAAATCTGTAAAGATCTTTATGAAATAATGCAAAATGAATAAACTGAACCAGAAAAATGGAAGTAGACAGTAAATATAGAAGGAAAAGTAATGAGGATAAGAGGACAAAATACAAATGAGGATTTAGATGGAATGATTGAAAAATAATCCTTTTTGTTGAAATTAATTTTAATATAAAGAAAGTTTAATTGATTGTATTGATATTTGAAGGTAAACTTTTAATTAAACAATCTTGCTGAACAAATGAAAATTTTCATAGCTAAGGAAATAGTCCTTTTGTTTATAAATCATCCTTTTCATAGATCAGTTTCCCCGAACCTTTTCAAGAAAAATATCCGAGTTTTTGTTGTAGTTTTATGTACCTAAATAGTACACTCTCTTTAGAAGATTTATAATTTCATTGTCCTCCTAGAATTAATATGAATCAGTGAGATTTTGCTATATTTCAATGGTTCTTTGGTTAAGATACCTGTGTCTACAGTAGATTTTAAGCTTTTTGAATTGGTCATGGAAATCTCTTTTTTTCGACATCCTGCTCTTCTAAAATTTACTTATTTCCTGCTGGTGAGAAGACATGGAATTATGGCTGGCTTCTAGTACCCAGAGAAATGTCTTAAAGGAAAGAAATAATCAAACATACTTTGATATGGGTTACATTCAGCCCTTACTGCTGATAGGTGTTGAGGCCAAGCCATGAAATTGAAAATCTAAGGAAACCAGCATTTAGTTCCTCCCTCCTATCCCACCTGTGGATCACTTACTTACTATTATAGCATAATGGCAGCTTTAAATAGAATTGCAGGGCATTTGTTTTGCTGAAGTTTCTTATGGCAAACTGTGGGAAAAATTTTAGCATTTTAGCTTCCATTTATACCTTACTACACAAGTGGTACTTTCTATACAAGTGGTAAGACATTGAAAAGTAAAAACTAGCTAGCATCAGGAAATGCCCTTTGCTTGGTTCCAGTTTTAAACTTTGTTAACCAGTGATCCCTTAACCATCTTCAAGTAAAAAGAATTGACATTCTACCCAAAATCTCAATGCCTCTCCACTCCCCTCTTTACTCCTCCCACCCACGCTACACAGAGTACCAACTAGGTTTTGAAAGTGAGTCATAAGCTGTTTGAATATATTTGAAGCTGGGTTAATTTGCCTAAAGACATTTGGTAGACATATCTTTAGTAAAGTATCTTAGTGCTTATTATGATCTTTATATTAAGTCTTAAGTTCAGTTTGGGAAATGATCCTTTAATTTTATTCATGATATAGTTAGGGTATATGTGACTTCCTATAAACTTATTCTATATGTTGATTTTATAGGCAAACGAAGGTTTAATATTAAACTATGGAAGACTTTCACAGATTGTTTTAACTGTCTGCCTATTGCAGCCATTGTGGATGAGAAGATCTTCTGTTGTCATGGAGGTAAACTAAGAAATTCACCTTATTTAGATTTCTTTTTCATTATTATGGTTATCTTCCTGATAATAGAAGAATAATTAGGAAATCAAGCAACTGAAATTGGATCATGAGAAACAAAAATAGCTCTTATATTTATAAGTATGTGTATATATATATATATATTTTTTTTTTCACTAATTGAGAATTGTATTTGAGTAATGAAGTTGTATATGTTAAGATACCATTATAAAATCTAAAAATTCCTGACATCTTTTGGAGACTTTTTGATCTAAACTAGTGGTCATCAAGCTATAGCCCAAGGGTCAAAGTAAAAAACATTCTTAGCTCACTGGCTTAAATCCAGTGGGCAGTAGTTTTCTAGCCCCCAAACTAGAGTATTACTTGAGCTCCATTTTGCAAATTGCATTTTGCTCTGATCTTGTCAGAAGACTTTCTACAATCATCTTGCTGATGTGTTTCCTACTTCACCAGTCCTAATCTCATTGAAAGGATTTTTTTTTGTGCACATGGACAGAGCTTTAGACATAACAGATTACCTGTTGAGATAACAAAAATGTATGTGAAGATGAATATTGCTTTTCCATATGGCCTGTGCAATACATTGGAATGTATAATAGCTTATGTGATAGATAATGGTGTTCTGTCCATTTCAGCAGTTGTTGAATACCTATTACCTTTATGTCTGGCCTCAGGAAGCTTAAAATCCATCCAGTTAGAGAGAAGATATTTGTATATGTAAAAAATACAACAGTAAATTCCAAAATGTGTGGCACATAAAGTAAATGCAGAATTTCAGAAAAAGTAGAGATCAACAAGGCCTCGAATTGTTGGGGAAAGCTTATTACAGAGGGCATAAGACTCTGGCTTTGATTTTAATGGCTAAATTTTGGGGAGAAGATACTCAACATTTTTAGACTTTGTTATATATTCAGGGAACAGAGAAATGACTTGCCTGTCTCTAATTAAGAATACATTTTGGCACCAAGCATGAAATAGATTTGTGTGAGTAAAGTAGGGCCAGATTATAAGGGACTTTAAATACCATGCAGAGGAACTTGCCTTTATATTCTGAGTAGTGAGATATATTCAAGGTTTTTGACTAGAGAAATAACATTACAAAAGCATTTTTCAAGGAAATTGGGCAGCAATTCAAGTATGGAGTGATGACCATCATTCTTTTGTCAGGACATAGATTAGTATAAGAGTAAAAATTGCTTCCCATTACTGTTACACGTTATAATTTATGTAGTAACTTTTACATCCATTATTTCAATTGGGTATCACCAACAATCCAGTGAGATTGGTAGAGAATGACTTACTCTGAAGGTCATACAGTCATCCACATCTTCTGACTACTTGTACTGGTCTTTCTACTACTACACCAGACTACTTCTCTTATAGTGACTGAATATGTTTTAAAATCATTAAATATTGGATTATAATAGCACATGCACAGTTACGTGACTGGCCATGTTTGGCTGGGTTCTCAATAGGTCTTTAAGTGTAATAGAACTAGTGGAACTAAGAGATGATTAATTTTTTTAAATTTTAAATTAATTTTTACTTGTAACTTCAGCACCAAATAAAATGCACGTTTTCATATACATAGTAGAACAGAAAAAAGAATTATACATGGAACTGAGAATCTGTTTAGGTACAGGTTGCTTCTTAAAAATATGTGTAATAAATTTAACATGTAACTTCAAAGCTGTCCTGTTCGGTGATGCCTTCTTTCTTGTCATATAAAACATACTTTAATTACTTTTTTTTTTTTTTGGAGGTGGGCTTTCTTATCCTCAATCCCCGTTTTTCACCCGCTCCCTCCAGATTGGAAAAAATAAAAGAAAATCCCTTGTAACAGATATGCATAGTCAAGCAAAACTAATTCCTGTGTTGGTTCTATTAAAAAACATGTCTCATTCTGCATTTTAAGTCCACAGATGATTAAATATAATCATACTGCCCCAGAGAGAAACTTGGAGAAATCCCAGTAGCCAGATAGCCCAAATAATAAAGCCTTAATTGTCTTTTAAATTTCCCCTCCTTTTCTAATTCTCTTGCTTTTCTTTGACTGATTTTATACTTTCCAAAAATCACTAAGTAGTTATTGAACAGCAGCCCTTGATGAGCTTATAATTTAGGTAGGAAGAATAGAAAGCACCATTTTTTTCCTGAGTCACCACTGTGTAACTGTAAAAGACTAATTGTATTAGCGCTTGTTAAGTGTCTTGTTGAGGAACAGTGGATGGAGCCCTTTTGCTTGGTGGATTCAAGAAGTTTGTTTTTGTTCAGTTTTCAGTCATGTCCAACTCTGCCATCCCATTTGGGGTATTCTTGGCAAAGATGCTGGAATAATTTGCCATATCCTTTTCCAGCTCGTTTTACAGATAAGAAAACTGAGACCAACCGGGTTAAGTGACTTGCCCGGGTCATACAGCTAATAAGTGTCTGAGGCCGTATTGAACTCAGGTCTTCCTAACTCCAGGCCTGGCACTGTGTCTACTGGGCCACCTCGTTGAACTCAGGAAGATCTGAGTTCAAATATGCCTCAGACACTTAGTAGCTTTGTGACCCTGGGCAAGTCATTCAGCGTCTGTCAGCCCTACTTTCTTCATCTGTAAAATTAGGATGATAATAGCACAAATCTTTGAGGGTCAAATGGGGTAAGATATGTAAAGTGCTTTGCAACTGTTAAAGTGCTTTGTAAATATTAGTTATTAATTATTTTCCCAGGGCCAGACCCTGGCATTTTCTGAATTTTTGTAGTGTTTGAAATGCTTCCAAAGCACTTTTTGATTTTCAGACACCAGTAGGACTGATGAGTGGGGTTAAGAGAGGGTAAAGTTGTATTCGTTTTTGTTTTTAAGAAAATACAAGTGAATTTCATAGAAGATGGAATTGGGAGGAGACAAAGGATGCTTTTTTCTTCCTTAACTCCTCCTACCCTATTCTAACTTGTGAGTCTCTACAGTAGTCTTCAGTTCTCAGTTTTACACTGTTTACGCTTCTCCTTGTCCCTGTACTGTCAGATATTCTTCATACCTCTGCCATTCTAAATGATTTAGAAATCTAGATGCTTGACTTTTTCCCTATCTTGAAGATTGAGTCTGATAATTAGCAAAAATATCTAAGTCTTGCTAATTCTTTTCTTAACTCTTTGCTAATTGCTAGTCCTTGCTGGAACTCATGCTAATGCTTTTGTTCCCAAAGAAAGTATATGATGAATTTCTGTATCTGTCATTGTGTATTAGATATTTGCAGTAGCCTCTCATGGCCAGCCTGCCCCCAGTCTCTCTTCTCACAGTCCATCCTACACAGCTGCCGATTTAATTAATGAATATCAAACTGTTACCCTGTAACAGGCGCTGTGCTGGGAAAACATACAGCAAATGAATTAATCCCTTCTGTTTCTGAGGCATATATAAGACTATATCACTGTCATACTGAAAAATATTAAGTAGCTCCCTATTGCCTCTAGAATAAAATGCAAAATCCTCAGCCTAGCATTTAAAGTTATCCAAATCTAGCTCCCACCCACCTTTCCAACCTTGTTTAATGTTATTTCCCCTCGTGTGTTCTGTTCTTATCATACCAACCTACTATTCTTCAGATTCGATATACTACTTGCCACCTCTAGGCCTTTGCACAGGCCTATAACTGGAATGCATTCCCTCTTTACTTCTGTCTCTTAGATTCCCTACCTTTCTTCAAGGTTCTATTCGGGTGCAACTTCCTATGGGAAGCCCTTCCAGATTTCCCTGATTGTTAGTATTCTGTCCTTTTCCTGAAATTACTTTGTATTTATTTATCTGATACTTGTATCTACACCAGTGCCCTCTTCCCTCTGGAGGATTGAGAATTCCTTGAGATCAGCAGTTTCATTTTTGTCTTTATATCTTCAATACCTGTCATAATGCGTTTTATATCATTGGCTCTTAAAAATTAAATGTAATATGTAAAATCATATTGAAATGGAATATAAAATAATAAAATAATATAACCTATTAAATACAAATTAAAACTTTAAAATTGATTTGAATTGCATATAGACTTCATCTTGGGGTTGTAGGTGGAGCTCTCTCTTGTGTTCATTGTAAATACATGTTTGTAAATTAAAGGCAGCATAATATGATGGAGGAGCAAGAAAATAGAGAGCAAGACATTTTCTCTGATCCCTGTGACCTCTCAAAACAAATTATGTACCAAAGATAAAGCAGCTTCAGCTGTTTTTATGGTCTAGGTCAAAGATGCAGAATCCAAAAGAAGATTAACAAAACAAAACCCAAGAACCCTAGGGTACTAGTGGGTAGAAGAAGGATGTTTGCTGAGTGAGCTCAGGGCAGGCACTGGTTCTTGGGTTTTGTTTTGAAGGGGGTGAAATTACCAAAGATTTCAATAAGGAAAAAACCCAAAGACCTTGAACATAAGCAGATAAATCAACAGAGAAAACATTAAGAACAGAAAGAAATGTGCCCTCCAAATCTAGTAAGTGAGTTCAAATATCTATGAATAAATACTGCAAAGTAATGGAAAAAGATCCAACACTTGATGAGATGGTGGACACTGTGGAACATTGGGAGAATATGGAACCACAATATGCTGTTCCTGAAAGATTCAAAAGAAAAATGAGAATTATGAAAGCAGACTTTATGACCTGAGCAGCAAAAACAGTGGGCAGAATAGAAAAGACTGGAATCTGCCATGGTGAGTCTCTCCCGAGAAACAAAAGAGAGCAATAAATTGGGAATGCATGTGTGCAGAAATGAAAGACAATCTAGGAGAAGCAAAAAACAGTAACATTAAAATATGCTCACTGGGCAAGAAAACATATCGATCTCAAAGACAGGATATATGGAGTGTGGCATAGTGGAAAAGAGCATTGAATTTGGAGTTGAAAATCTTTGGTTTATTTTAAGACTTTGGCTTTGAAACTTGTGAATCATGTGACTATGCAGGAGATCACTTAACCTCATTATCTACCTTACAGTTAGAAGAAAGTGCTTTGTAAACTGTCAATTGCTATGTAAATGTGAGATCTTTTCTATGATGTTTGGGAGATATGAAATAATTGAGCTGAGATTAGAAGCCTGGGAAGAGCTAGTTCAAGGAGATGATTTTGACTAAGTCACCAATATAATGTGGTACCAAACATTGCATTTTATTAAGATAGAGGTAGGGACTGGACCTGTGATTTCCAGCCTTGAGCCCTGAAAAAATTGTATCTTACGCAGAGTCAGAAAGCTGGTAAGGGTTAGAGCCAGGACTGGAACCAATGCTTTCTGGATGTCAGTGCCAGTTCTGTATCCATGACACTATATTGCCTTTATTAATTAATTTTAAGAAATTAATACTGTTTATTATATTTTTTAAAGGTAGTATAGTATTTCTGTTAACATTTCATGGTTTTTTGGCATTTGACGAAAAACATCTTTTGTGTGTAGGTTGAATTAGATAGCCGTTAAATCTCTTCTAACTCTGATTCTATGATTTCCTCTGTTCTCCAACTTGTTTACAAATTGTATATTTAATATTTGCCTAATGATAAAGATTACCCCTTTACAATGTAGAAATGGTCTCCCATTTTAGATAATAGGATTTAGAGCTAGAAAGCGACCATAGAAATTATCTAGTCCAACCCCTATTGTCCAGATAAGGAAACTGGGGACTGGAGAGCTTGTGTCTTAATACAGTTATCCCTTCCACATTGCAACTTTCCCCATCACAGTTTTGATATAGCGTGGGTCAGCATAAGAAATCAAATGGGAATTTTTGGGGAGTTTTGCAGAAGCCATAGACAACACACAAAGTTCCAGCAGACAACACAGAAAAGGTTTGGAAATTCTGAAATGCATAAAATATAGGTATACTATTGTATAATATCAACATATTTTATCTTTTAATGCCATGAATATGTAGTTTCTTTTTTAAAAGTTAAAATAAGTAAAAAGTTAAAGTTTATGAAAAGAATACGAAAGTTAGCAGATGATACACAGAGGCTAGAAATGTAGAGATATTACATTGACCTACATATAGCTTATAACCAAATACTTAACCGAGATTTTACAGTAAGTTACTGTAAATACTCTGTAAAAGAAAAAAAAAATTCAGACTTCTTCTCTGGTACAAAGGGAGGGCCAAAAAAATTTAAGATTCGCAAGATCATGGGGGCATGAAAGGGATAACTGTAGTAGTATTTATGTAGTACTTTAAGGTTTGCACACCATTTTACATATGTTGGCTCATTTGATTTTCACAACAATCCTGAGAAGTAGATGCTGCTATTATCTTCATTTCACAGATGAAGAAAATTAGACTGAAAATGGTTTAAGTGACTTACCCTAGGTCACTCAGATAGTAAGTGTCTAAAGCAGCATTTGAACTCAGATCTTCCTGACTCCAAGTCCAGTGCTCTTTCTGTTACAACACATAGCTGCTAACGTGATTTGTGTAAGGTTAAACAGGTAAGAAGTAGCAAAAATTGGGATTTGAACTTAGGATCTCAGACTCCAAGTCCAGTGTCCCGTCCACTAAACCACAGGTTTGACTAAAATGCGACAATTTTGGTGGATTTTTAAAAACAATTATTCTACCAAAATTTCTATTTTTAGTGTAAACTCTTTCCAAGTTCTGTTGAAGAAAGTTGCAGGGACAGCGAGTGGACTTAGAGCATTTGTTTGACATGTTCCCATGAATGGTAGTGTTTGGATTATTGTTCCAGAGCAAGAGTTGTAAGAGGTAGGTGGTAGCAGCTTTGAAATGGCAGCAGTCAGAAGCAATAAATGGAAATCTGGTGCTCAGGAGCATACTATGAACATGGCTAGAGGAAAAGTTAAAATTCTGACAGTGAAGGGAAAACTTAGAATGAATTGCTAAATCAAGTTATGAAATTTTCTTTTGTGTAGACTTGTTTTTAAAATGGAGTAAGTTCTTATCCCTCTTATTAGAGATGACCCTTTGAGTAACTAGGCATAGAATTCTGTATCACTACTAGATATTTTTTTTCAGCTTGCCTGTAAAATTGCATTGAAAAAAAATTAGTTGTAGGCACTAAAGGAATAAGAACTATTTAAAATATAGTAGGACATTAAGTTATATAAAATATGGATTCTTTATTTCTTAATGTGATATCATGAATTGAATAGATTGTGCTGTTTTTCTATTGACTTATGATTTTTGTAGATACTTGTGAATGTATACTTAAATAGCTATCAATAGTCAGAAGCAAAGGTTGATTGTATATGTATATGGATTATAATAGTTCCTTGAAGTCAGACAGTCTTGGGGTTTTTTTTCCCCTTCAAAATGAATGTTTGTTTCTCAGTTTTCAATAGTTTTTTTTTTTAACTATCTTTTTGAAAGCAAAACAAAGTTGCTGTGTTTTTAATGATAAATTTCCTATTTGCTCTCGGTTCTGAAATTGTCATTTTAAAATATATTTTATTCAAGTACAATTAATTTCTGAGGTACTTTTTATTGAATAATACTAAATGTTTATACCACATGTATTTCCCTTGCTTTCTATTTAGGACTTTCACCAGATCTTCAATCAATGGAGCAGATTCGGAGAATTATGAGACCAACAGATGTCCCTGATACAGGTATATTATGCTGTAGACTTGGATAAAACATTTGTCTTGGGTAAAGTGCCATTATATTGGGAGATTTAGCAATTTGGCTCAAATTTAATTATGTTTAGAGTTCTACCTGGGTGCTGCTCTATCCAGGAGGTGGATTAAATGGATACTGCTTGATCTATACTAACTTATATCTCTTTATACTGAAATCATCTCACCAAAAAAAATGGATTTAAAATTTGATACTCTACTATCGTGATTCTGGCCATCTTTAATTCTCTCTTCAAGTTTTTCTCATGTTCTTCCTCTATTAGTATATACTTTTGAATGGTACCTTCACATTTAATTACTCTTCTAGGTGTTGGTCGTTTCACGCACAAACTAACTTCCATCTTCAGCCCTTTTTCAGAACAATTTTTAAAAATGTGTATGTATGTATGTATATATGTGTATACCTGATCTAATGTTAGTCACCTTCTTTAAATTTTTCCAGTAGTTCTTTTATAATCTTCTGCCTCAAGTCTGCTAACTTGATAAGGCCCTTCCCAAGAATTAGCCAGTTTTATATAGTTAAAATTTGATGTAACCAAATAGTGTTAAATGACAAAATAGAATAACTTTTGAGGAGCTGTAGCAGGTCCAAACCAAAGTAAGCAGAAATTACCTGGATGGCAAAGTGTGGTGGTTGACTTTTGCAAATGATCTTGTTGTCCTTTGTTCTGGACAATTAGTTTACTTCACGTTGCAATAGTAATGAAGGGAAGCAGAGGTTCACTCATTTAAAACCTCTGCATTGGCTTTGTAATGTGCATTTGGGCTTTATGTGAGTATACATATGTATAATCAAAGAATTAGTATAAAGTCATATTAGTAAGGCCTAACTTGGGGGACATGGAAAGTTTTCCAAATTAACCACTCTTATTCAACTCTTGGAATAGCATCATCTTTCATAACAGTGCAAAATACTAACTTTGCTTCATACTTCCATTTTGCAGAGCCTCTTTGCTGGTCTACAAATTGCCTACCAGCAAAAAGGAAATGGAGTAGCAGATATCAACAAATTACTAAATTAAGCAGATGATACTGTAGAAAAAAAGTCATTCTTTAACAGAGTTGACTATTCTTGGAGTGTATCAAACTGGACTTAATGTTGGCATATGAGAGAAAAGAAATTAAGTGAGCAAGTAAATCAGCCTCTCTGGGTCCACTTAATGGATCTCTGAAGTCCTTTTTAGCCCTAAATCTATCATAAAAGATTTATTAAACACTTATCTCGTGCCTCAAAGTGTGCTAGATATTTACAGGTAAAAAACATAAGATGTAAATATAAGAGGAAAAAAGTGAATTAATGTTACCATAGCACAATAACATTTATAAAATTCAAATGGTAACACCTTAGAATACTAAACAAGTATGTTAAACCAAGCCTTTGTGAAAGAGCCCAACCATCCAACAATCTTATATCATTTGACCATTTGATTGATGTGTGTGTGTGTGTGTGTGTGTATGTATGTATGTATGTATGTATGTGGTTATTGAAGGTCCTTCAAAAGTCATTGCATTGACCCTTCCAAAGCTACCCACCCCCATGTACAAGCATAACATAGAAACTTCTATCAAAATATTTAAATAAAGGCACATAAAATAAGCTTTAGCCATCAATAGAACAATCACCTTTAGTGAATCCAGTGGAAGGAAAAGAGGCAAGTCAGATGGCACATGAACATGAGGAAAATAGTACTTCAACTGATGGAAATAGTAGGAAGAACTGGCTATGATCATAAACTAGTTTGTGTTTTAGATGGGCAGAACATCCCAAGTGGCAATGTCATGTGGGCAGCCAGTGGTACTGTTTTGGAACTCAAAAGAGAAGTCAAAGCTAGTGATAAAAGATTTGGTGGTCACTTGCAGAGATGAAGCCATAGGAGCAAATGAGATTGCTAGAGAGGAGACTGTAGAGAAGTTAGATATTTAAGGGCAAAATCTTGAGGATACCTTGCTAAAAGATTTAAAAGGAACTGGTGAAGGAAGACAAAGGAGAAAAGTCAGAAAAACAGGAAAAGTGGTGAGTCTGAAGCCGTAAGAGAAAGGAGTATACGTAAAGATAGGGTTAACCAAAGTGTCAGATGCTGTAAATTGGGTCAGTGAAAAGAAGATGACCAAAAAAGGTTATTGGATTTAACAATTAAGGGATCATTGGAAATCTTTTAGAAAACAATTTTAGTTTCATGTTGGTGGCAGAAGCCAGATTGTAAGGGAATTGAGGGCAACTCGATGAAAAAGTAGTTATCCCTTCCACGTTGCAACTTTCCCCATCACGGTTTCAATATATCTCAGGTCAGCATAAGAAATTAAATGGGAACTTTTGGGGAGTTTTATGGAAGCCACAGGTGACAACAAAAAAGTTCAGAAACTCAGAAATGCATAAAATATGTATGATATTATATAATACCAACATATTTTATCTTTTAACACCATAAATATACCCAAATTTTACAATAAGGTACTCTGTAAACCACCGCATAGAAGAAAAAAATTTAGACTTCTCTGGTACAAAAGGAAGGCGCAAAAATTTTATGTAGATTTTCCAGAGTACAGGAATGCCATGTCCCTGTGTGGAAGGAATAAATCAACACTACTATGATAAGTAAATAGTATGTGTACATCCCATCATTATTCAATTATCCAGATAGTGTAAGGGCATAATGACTTTAATACTAAATAATTTTAAATAAGATCAATATCTAAAAGTCAAAAGGAACTAAAAATTCATCCATGTGAATGAATGAATGAGCATTTACTATGTGCTAAGTATTGTACTAAATGTGGGGATTAAAATACAAAAAAGATTAGTCCCTGACCTCAAGGAGTATACTTTCTAACAGGGGAAGACTACTGTAAACTTAAAACAGAGTGGTAGCCAGGAAGGGATGCTTTGGTTTAGACAGTTACCAGGATGGTAAGTGGAAATTTGGGGAGTAGATGGACATGCCCTTTCAAGTCACAATGAAAGTATTGATTTGATTATGATTCCAGAATTATAAAGTTTGGGGAGTAGAGAAAGTGAGGCAGTACAGAGGTGGGGAGTAAATTGAGGCATGATCTGAAAGAGTGGTCCTTACTAGGCATTAATAAATCATTTTCTGGGCAAACTAGATCCTAATTTCTCTTTAAGGGTTGTAGAAATATGGACTTTGAAACATTGCCATTTTGCCTTTAATGATATTTGCCTGATATTTTTTTTTGTTTGTTTTTTGTTAGGCAATGGGGTTAAGTGACTTGCCCAGGGTCACACAGCTAGGCTAGTAAGTGTAATGTGTCAAATCTGGCCCTCCTGAATCCAGGGCCGGTGCTCTATCCACTGCACCACCTAGCTGCCCCAGTTTGCCTGATATTTAACATTGATACATTGTATGACAAATTTAAAGACCTTCCTACTAAATAAATCAATTATAGTCTAACTTTTATAAGATTTGGCCCCCAAGATTGCAGGTTTCTGGCTTTAGAAGAGAACTGCCCAACTACTGTAGTCTTAATGTCTCACTTAATCTGTATTGAAAAATAATGTCTAGTGCAAAAACAAAGAAAGCACATTCTCAGAATACTAAGGAATTATAATGATGGCATGAAGAAGAGTTTTGTGTCCAATTATAAGTCAGCACTGACTTCTTCAAGGAGAATCTTGTAAAATGTATATCTCTAGCTTCAGAAGACCTGCAAATTTCTAGGTTAGGTAGTCAGAGTCAAAACCAGTAGGTACATTCAATGTAGAATTAGAGTATTTTTTGTTATCTTAACAGTCTAAAAGTTTTTCTAATTAAAAAACGCAAATGTGAAAAATAGGTGCAAAAGAGGTTCATTATTCTTAAATGAAGACCCCAAAGTTATATTTTATGATAACTGATAAAAATATAGCAGAGGAAAAATAGGAATCTGAACACAACTAAGCATATAGGTGTAGAACTGATCATATTTTGGTTTGACTATTCATGGAAATTAAAGAATTTTCTTTTTGAAAGTATTTCAGATTGCCATTATCATTCTAATTCTTCCCATTTATCCATAAGACTTCTTTTGTTTTTCCATCTAATAGCAGCCACTTTTCTCGCTGATTTCATATTCTACCTGGAACTGTTTCCTGAGTTGGGCAGATTGGTTTATTTAGTAGAGCCTTTAGTTTCATCTTCCAGTCTGGACTTCAGAGGTGGTCAGTGAAGGAGCTGCCTACATCAGTGGGAGTGTAGATAGTATATTCTTCCCAGCATCAAACTGTCCCCAAATCCAGATTTGATTTTTAGTTTTCATATTCATTTAAACTTTGGAGGTTTATATTTATTAAACATTGAGGTTACTTTTCTCCACCCTCAGAAGCTGGCTCCCTGACCTTTCATGGAAAGTTGAGGCACTAAGAGTAATTTAGTCTTGAAGTCTTTGTTTTCAGAGGAGGTACAGTGTAACAGTTTCCTTTCACTGGCTTTCCATTAGGGGAATCCAGAAACAATTTATTCTTGTTGATTCTCCACATATTACGGGCTTTAGGACTTGATTTTTTTTCCTTGCTGGATTTTGACCAGGTGACCAGTTAAGTTCTGCACTACAGTTTTTTTTCAAGTTTGCATATTCTTTGAGCAGCTCCTGGCCAGGCTTCTGCAGCAAACCAAGAGCTCAGCCAATGCCAACTTTTTTTCCCTAGAAGTGTGGCAATGAATGGAATGAAGAAAAAGAGGTGGTTAGCTGGATGTTTTAGAGGGATCACGGGAAGTTTGTTTTGTTCTTGTTTTTTGGTTAGGATTAGGAATATCTGTGTGTGTTTGTAGGCAAACGAGAAATAGCCAGTAGAGAGTTAGCTGCGCCCTAAGAAAAAAGTGGGTTATTCCTGGAGGAAGTAGGAAGAAATGGCATGGATTTAGACCTGACTCCTTGTCAGAGAGTAGGAATTTTTAAATAATCTTTGGCCAAAAGGATGAGAGCAGGAGATAAAGAAAAAAATTTTTTTGAGTAGAGGAAGAGGTTGGTAATTGAAG